CTATATTAAATCCATTGGAGATGGATTGACCCTTTCCTTTTTCTAGCTACTCATACTCTGAAATATTAAACAATAACGGTGTTAATTAAGATCTATGACATTACAGCAGCTATAAAGTTGGTCTACACAGTCCCTTCACATAGAACAGTCTCTGGGGGACCAAGCCTCCGCTCCCGTAATATTCTGGAGATAACACTCTTATCTCTTATTTTTCGTGCCCCGGGAGGGTCCCGTGGTATATTTCTTCCCCCACTGAAGCCTCCTTCTCCACAAATTTCCGTCGCTAAGGTTCTTATCGTGTGTTATTGCCACGATAAGAGGCTTCGTAATTTTCCTGTCTCTGGTACGACTGTTCTTCACAATATCTGGCGTCGTTGTGTTTTCCCGTCTTTTTTAGTCAAAATGGCCGTCTTTTTCTATTTCTCAGAAATGTTCACTCTTCAATCGAAATTTTAAAATTAAAAATTCTAGAACATTCTGACCCTCCTTCGCAACACTTTTTCGTTCATAAGGCCTTTAGTCGTTCTTTTTTACGTCGCCGGAAGGTTGTGCTGTGTCATCTGGCAGAATGGCACAATCAGATAGTTTTCAATAGACAGTTCTTGTATTAACAGTTTGAAATTACTTCCACCCTGGCTTAAATTGGCTTTCTTTCATTGCTACATTGTTGTTCCGACTTTCGATACGAAAGTAACAAAATATTTGTGCTCGGAGTGGGTTTTTTTTTCGACAAATTTCGACTTTTAACCTAGCCATTTTTGACGTGATTTTTTTTATACTTAACTCGAAATGATAATTCGTCTGTGATCTTTTTTTGTAAGGTTATGGGGGTTTAAAAAATGCCATTTCGGCCAATTTGTGACAATTGACGCGCGGTACATTTCGCGCTATTAACGCGTAAGCAGAGACCTAATCCGTCTTAGAAATCATTCCAAATTGGTTGAAAGAAGCTTATTTGCCATAATTAATTTGTTACAAGGAGCAAAATTTATTTTTTTGTTCTTGATATGGCGTATTGGGTGATGATTTTCAAAGCAAACTTCAAAATTTAGAAAAAAAACTTTCTTTTTATTTTATTGCATTTATTTGTTTTGTTTCCACTGCTCCATAAACCTTAAAGGCAGTCGGAACAATCAGAGCTTCGGCCTTATACGAGCAGTCTTGTTTTGTATTATATGCTTTATAATAAATGCTTTGATGAAGTTAATCATATGATTGTACTTAATTTTCCCACTACTCGTCTACGACAAAAACCACTCTCAATGAAAGTCAAGGATACAAGTCAGATAAAACATTCTTGTTTTTCCTTGGATACTAAAAATTTTAGCAAGTTTGTTGTTTGAGTTTCAATTTTTTGATAGTAAAAAAGCGCTTCAGGCTAAGTTGCTAGAGATATGAAATGAAGACTCTTTGGAGATAAAAAAAAGAGCTGATTAGATTCTTAAATGAAATCAAATTTGCCTTTTTAAATGACTGTTACTTGAATTTTAATACCTATATGCTATCCAAAAAGAGCAGCTGGAATAATTGTCATACATTTTGTGAAAACGTGGTCTGACCATTCTGTGCCACTAGCTCATTAACCAGCTTCTTTTTTTTGCAATGAAAAAATATAGCAATAGAAAGTTTGCCAAAGAGGCAAAACGGAGCCTCGCATCAATTGCCACAAGCAATAGTTATTATGGCTGCCAGCTACTGAAAAAACAATAAATCAAAAATTGAAAAAATAAATTTAAGAAAATTATTTTTTTTTGTAAAAAAAAAAAACACAAAATGGCAAAAAAGGACAAAATAATTCCTGTAAAAAAATTACCTGCATAATGAAAAACTTTACAGGGGGCTTTCAAAGCATAATTTGTCAAACATTTTGACATAGTTTGTTTGTTACAAGGAGCGAAATCTATCACTTTGAATTTTATATGCCGTGTGGGGTGATGATTTTCATAAAAAATCTATCTCAAGTTTTTTTTTTAATTTTATTTTATTAAATTTAGTTTTTTCAAGTTATTTTTTGCTCTATAGACTTAAAAGGCAGTCGGAATATTCAGGGTTTCCCCTGATACAAGCAGTCTGGTTGAAATTTCAAAATGTATCATGTTTTTTTTTCGGAACAAATAATAGATAGAAGATAAATTCTAGATGAGACAGTTTTCAATAAACAGTTCTTGTATTAACAGTTTGAAATTACTTCCACCCTGGCTTAAATTGTGTAAAAGTATTATTGTTTGTTCATTTAACCTCTGATCTTTACTGATCGTTGACCTTTAAGTTGTTAATTTATACACCTGCCAAAAGCGCAACGGCTTTTGGTAGACTCGGAATTGGTAACAAACAAACCGAAACCAATTCAATCTTTTAAACCTCTCTTACTTTAGTTGGCATCACCGTCTTTTATTTAGTCTTAAATAAAAGCCTACTGTTTTTAGTAGGAATCTTAATCATCCGTAATCTTAATCTATTCTTAGCTTAAGTACACTCCTATACAACTACGAGTGGTATCCTAATTTTTTAACATGGCGCAGTCTAACGAATCGAATCTACGTGGATTAGAGTTTTTTTGGAACAACTCATCAAACGAAAATCAACATGACTGGGAACGGTGGGTGGAAAAGTTTCAATTGACAATTATTGCGAAAGACTCCGTAGACATCGAAGATGTAATTAACCCACCGATAAGAAACGAACTAACTTACCCTACGGCAGAACCACCGGACCCATCCGAGGATCAGGCCCGTCGGGCCGAAAAAGAGGAACATCACAGAGTAGCAGTACAAAATTATAACGAAGAATTAAGAAGGAGAAGGGCGGAAGATAACGCCAAAATTAACGGACTTCAAATCGGAGACATTGACAAGAAGCTAAAATCACAGTTATACCTAGCACTCGGAAAAGAAGGACAGAAATGCTTCTCTCATAAAAATCCTGGCAAAAGAATTCTGGATATCAATTTCGCAGAATTTTGGGAACTATTAAAAACTACTTTCACGATCACTACAAACCTAACATACGAAAGGTTTAAATTTTTTGGCCGAAGACAGAAAGAACATGAGTCCTTAGAAAAATTCCATGAAATTCTTTCAGAACTAGCAAAAAATTGTAAACTGGGGGAACTCGAGTCAGAACTAGTAAGAGACTTTTTCATCACAAACATGAGAAATGTCGAGATCCAAAAGAAACTATGTATAGAATATTTGACCCCAGAAAACGTACTATCTTACGTATTAGTTCATGAAAAAGGTACTAAAATCCATCAACAGTATCTAAAATTCCCAACTTACAACCCAGGACCAAGACCACAATACGTGAAGAACGAACCAACCCTAAATATCGTCGAAAATAACAAATGCCGCAATTGCGGTCAGCAATTCAAAAAAGGACACCTATCCACATGCCCGGCTAGAGATAGAAACTGCAATACGTGCGGACGGAAAGGACATTTTACCAAACACTGTAGGAGTTCAGCAAAAACACAAACTAACATCGTCGATCAGAATCGTGTACCCCAAGAAAACGAAAATATCCGGACCAACCCGCAGGAAAATCCCGAATTTGAGGTTAACTTAGACGACTTCCTAGTTCTAGCCGTTGACACAGATAATCAAATAAATGCCGTAGAAGACGAAATAGAGCGTGGAGTGAGAACAGTATTTAATCACGAAGGATTAGAATTGAAAAAGACACTAAAAGTATCTCTGGGAAATTTCAACCCTTACTACACCGAGATTCAAATTGACTCCGCAAGTCCAGTTTCCTTCATGAAAAAAGACCTACTACACGAATTGAAGATACGAGATAGATTTTTAAAGCTAGAACCTGTGGACGAAATAACAAAGAAAGCATACCAGGGCTTCGGGAGTACGATCAATATCATTGGAAGAGTTCGAGTGAAAATCCGATCGAAAGGATGGGAGGCTAATGACCAAAAACTTTTTATCACTGAAGGGGCTGAAAGAAATCTACTAGGAAACGACATCTTACCGAATTTGGGCATTGTAGTATTTCAGAAACAACCTCCACCCAACGGGTTAAAGTCACGGGAAGATCAGAAAGTATCACCCATTGGGATAAACGTCAATCAAATAAAATTCGCATCGGACAACCAACAGGATCAAAACCAAGAGACACCATCTCAAAGTGAGTTTAAATTATACATATCAAAGCACTTTTCAGACCTCATAAAAAGAACTGGTAGATCAAAAAACTACGTAGTTAATACTTATTTTAACGAACCGATAAAACCGATACAGGTAAAAGGGAAACGTATCCCGATCCATCTTCTCCCCAAAGTCAAACTATGTATCGACCAATTATTAAGAGACGGACACATCGAAAAACTATCTAGATGCTCTGAAGATTGTTTTATTTCCCCCATCGTGATTACAGCAAAAAGGGACGGATCAATCAAACTAGCATTGAACTCAAAACTACTAAACAAACAGATATTTCGCAATAGATATCAAATGCCGAATCTATTTGAACTAATTGACAACATAGCAGTTACTATTAGCGGCCACGATCAAAGAAACATCTGGTTTTCATCGATAGATTTAAAATACGCCTACAGCCAAATACCGCTTTCTAAAAAGGCAAGCAATCAGTGTAATTTTAACATTGTGGGGGGAGAAGTAACGGGTTCATACCGTTTCAAAACCGGATTCTACGGGCTAGGCGATATGCCTAATGAATTTCAACGAATAATGGACCGTTTGACGGAAAAAATACCAAATACCCATTGTTATCTTGACGACATCCTAATCGCCACCGTGGGTAGCGAGGAAGAACATAAAAAGCTAGTCATTAATGTGTTAAAAACGCTAGATGACGAGGGACTAGCCATAAAATGGGAAAAATGCACATTTTTAACCCACAACATAGAATGGTTGGGATTCAGAATCGACGCAAAAGGGACGACACCATTAATACATAAATCTGACGCAATTAGAAATCTAAAAGAACCAAACTGCATCAAAGATATCAGATCATTAATGGGATCGATTAACCAATTTAATAAGTTTATACCAAACCTAGCGTCCCTATCAACACCGTTCAGAGAACTTATGCAAAAAAATAAACCATTTAAGTGGTCCTCAGTACATACGGAAGCGTTTGAAAAAATCAAGAACGAAATTGGTAATACGGTGACGAACCACCATTTCGATGTAAAACTGAACACTCGGGTGAAATGCGATGCCTCACATTTAGGACTGGGCGCGTCCATCGAACAAGACCATCGGGGGAATTGGAAGAAAGTAGCGTTTGCTAGCAGATTTTTGAATATTGCCGAATTAAAATACAGCACTAATGAACTCAAACTACTGGGATTAGTGTGGGCACTAGATCATTTCAAAAATTACCTACTGGGTAAACAATTCTCAATTTTAACAGACCACAAAGCCCTAATAGGAGCACGTTGGGCGGATAAACTTTTACCGTTCGACTTTACTGTAGAACATTTACCCGGTAAAGATATGGGATTTGTTGATTATATATCCCGACACCCATCGGGTGAACCCGTACCAGTTTCTCTGGATGACGAAAAGTTTGTTATCGCTTCAGTAAATCAGATTAGTACGCTCCTAGGTTTTGATCATCTAATGCCAAAAAATTCGTGGGCGCAAATAAGAAATAAATTCTCTCAACATTTCTTAGCACATGACGTCACTTCCTGTAATACGATTGGCCAGTCAACAGATCATATGACCAGTCAAGAAATAGAACGTGAGAATCGAATTGCTAATGCCGCCGAAACTTTCCAAGCGATAGCTAACTATTCAAATATTTCAGTGTGTCAAAATTCTCACTCGCGAACAGAACAGTGTGACTCATCTTGCAAATTAAACGATTTTTTTACGAATTTTAACATCTTGAAAGAAATGGCAGAACAAATTGAATACATCTGGTGGCCGAAAATTGAGGGTTGAATTTCGTGGAACAGACATCAGGACTAAATTTGACTTTCTTTTCGGGAGTCTTTTGATCATCTGTTTTCGAGGGCTTCGGGTCACTTGGGTACGCATAGTTTTCTTCCCGCAAGTGAACTATAGTAGGACGCGATGATGAAGGTGGTGTTAATGTTGTCAGGTCTACTAGGTCGACATGATGGCTTTCCATTTCTACGGTAGTTGCTTCTAACGTTGAACATGCTGGGACTAAACTAGGTGAACCAAATTCTGGAGCATCACGATCTTCATCAGTTAAATCAACTACACTGGTGAACACTCTCTCACCTAGCATCTTGGGAGGCTGCCTAGTTCGCATAGGTCTGGTGTTCTCGGCCACCAGATGTACTCAATACATCTGGTGGCCAAAAATTTACCGTGAAATCCAAGTCCACGGCGAGAACTGTATTGAGTGCGTGAAAGCAGGTAAAAACTTGAAACCTCTTATAAAACACAATACCCTAGGGGAACTCCCAATGGTCGAAGAGCCAAACCAAGAAATGGAATTAGACTTCGCCGGTCCGTTACCTTTAGTATGGGGAACAAAAAAATACATATTGGTGTGTGTTGACAGATTTTCAAAATTCCCATCAGCTCAAATAACATCCAGCACATCGGCCAAATCTATAATAAACTTCCTTAGTAAATACATTGCTTTACACGGGATACCTAGAACCATTAGAACAGATCAAGGATCTGGTTTTATCTCCAAGGAAGTTAGAGAATTCTGCCACGATCACAACATAAAGGTGATATTTAGCCCAGTGGGTGATCATAGAGCTACCGGACTAGTGGAACGTCTAATCAGGACCATTAAGGAAAGACTCTTGGTTATGGCACAAGAACGTCCAAAACCTTCACTAGAATCTGCACTCCTGAAAATAATAAAATGCCTAAGAACAGTAACCCAGCAGTCGCTTAACTGCTCTCCTTTCGAAGCACATTTTGGTAGATCCCCTAACACCATCTGGCATAATTTGGTCAAATCACCCTCTTCGAATAACCTTGATTGGAATAAAACTTTGTTATGTCTAGATAAGGGCAAAAAACTAATGAGCCGAGAGCGAAGACACGACTGGGACGCCCCCGACGATATAGAAGATGGAGATGTTGATGAAAACTCATCATCCTCGGAGGATATCTCAAATGCTGTGAGATATGTACCAACCAGTGCTGGATCCCCAGTAAAAGTGCTCTCTCGGTCAGAAAAAAGAGATGCCTTGGGCATAAAGGACTCAATTCTGAACAACCCGTCAGGAAAGACCATTGTTTATCGAAAAATCAAAGATAGAACAAAAAATGAACCATACTATAGAGTACTCAAGGACGAAATCGTAAGGGAATCAGATCACACTGTGACTTTAAAAAATGGTAAAATAATACTTAAATCTGATTTAGCCATTAAAAGACAGTGCACTCAGAAGAAACCAAGTCCAAGAAAACGAGACCAACTGGTTAGATTTTATGCGACTAAAGGATTGAGGAAAACTGCAAAACCACCAAGAAATGTCGGATTTAAAAGCTCAAGAACAACCCAAAAGAAAAGAAATCTTCAGTGGAAATTCGAAGAGCTTGATATTGCGAGACGAAACGCGGCCATGAACAGCTCGAGGGAAACTCTTCTTAGAGAGGAAGAAGACCAGAGAAAGAGACTGAGAACCCCGATAGGCCTCGAAAGTGACCAAGAATCAAGCCCGTCGGGCAAAGCCGACCTTCATAAAAGTCGTTTAAATGAACTCGGAGTGATGATCGAACCACATGAAGAGATTTCAGACGACAACGATAGCGACTTAATTTCACTAAAAGACCTCAAGGATAAAACATTACTCGAAGCTACAAAATCAGACGAACACCTAATCTCCGAACGAACAGATCCTAAGCTAGAAATATCAGACCACGTTGATCAGAAGGTCGATTTAGATCCGATTCCTTTGATCGACTTAGATTCTGGCGATAATGAAAGAGACTCACAAGCGATCCCACAGTTGATTCACTTGGACACTATAGAGGAGGCCAATAAAGCGTGTAAAAAAATGCCATTTCTCCCAGAGAATCCCGGAGGAGAGTTTTCCAAGTCTGCTGAAGAATCAATCGCCATGGCGGGGACGGAATCCAAACAAATACACTCTGACCGTACCACGAAAACACAGAAATTGTCCGGTACCGCTAAAAGAAAGGCGTCATCACCAATGAAATCACCACCCTCAAAAAAAATTGTCAGAAATTTATACACGTCAGAACACCAGACCTATGCGAACTAGGCAGCCTCCCAAGATGCTAGGTGAGAGAGTGTTCACCAGTGTAGTTGATTTAACTGATGAAGATCGTGATGCTCCAGAATTTGGTTCACCTAGTTTAGTCCCAGCATGTTCAACATTAGAAGCAACTACCGTAGAAATGGAAAGCCATCATGTCGACCTAGTAGACCTGACAACATTAACACCACCTTCATCATCGCGTCCTACTATAGTTCACTTGCGGGAAGAAAACTATGCGTACCCAAGTGACCCGAAGCCCTCGAAAACAGATGATCAAAAGACTCCCGAAAAGAAAGTCAAATTTAGTCCTGATGTCTGTTCCACGAAATTCAACCCATCGGGCCTATCTTATGAAACCTCAACTTCTACATTTGTCCCCATTGTACCTGACCCAGACTGGCTGAACACCTCTTCTATCATTTCGGCGATAGAACTCCTTGGACGGCCAATGACGCTGGAGGAGTTAAGGAGATGGACAATAAACAAGGCAGCAAATCGGGAAACTAATTAGATGTAGGAGCTCCAATCCAGATGTTATCATAAACGTTCATGAACTCTCAAAAACTTCTTTACAAAACTTTTAGTATCTTTAGTATTTTGTGTATTGCCGAATGCTATTAACATTCCTTTGCTATAGAGTCATACAAACTTTCAGTGCTGTCATATTAAGCTAATAAGTTGATTGGTCACACTTGTAACCTTGCTTTAGCCATATAATTTCGCCAAAATGTCGGTAAAATTCTTTTCACCCATTGGGCGCTACCACCGGATAACCATTAGATTTATCCATCCTAGTATTACCCACTTATTTTGACTATTCTAAGGATAACTCGCTGCCTACCTTACTGCTCAATTTACCCTGGTGCTATTCCAGTTTCTTGCTCGCCCATAGTAACCAGTCTACATTTATTTCACCCGACGAGAACATACTATTCGATCTAAGGTGGTTTGTTTTTGAATTTTTGTTATTGCTGATGAACATGCTTTCCGGCCCACCGGGTCCGTTCATTGGTCTTTTCCGTACCGTACACCCGCTCTTTCGACCTGACAACCGTGTAAATTTACTTAGTATCAATACGCTTTCTTGGTCCTCGGTGCTTCACCAAGTCTGTGTTCCTACTGTTCTAGATCCACTATCGGGGGTCCTAGACAATGCGCCTACTTAGTCATTCATTCTAGCGCTTATTTACTTTTGTTTTGTTCTCCTCTTGTGAGGCGAAAGGGATAGATTATAGATAAATTTTCGCGGGGAATATAAAAGTATTATTGTTTGTTCATTTAACCTCTGATCTTTACTGATCGTTGACCTTTAAGTTGTTAATTTATACACCTGCCAAAAGCGCAACGGCTTTTGGTAGACTCGGAATTGGCCACTATCTTTTATGATACGTAACAAACAAACCGAAACCAATTCAATCTTGTAAACCTCTCTTACTTTAGTTAGCATCACCGTCTTTTATTTAGTCTTAAATAAAAGCCTACTGTTTTTAGTAGGAATCTTAATCATCCGTAATCTTAATCTATTCTTAGCTTAAGTACACTCCTATACAACTACGAGTGGTTCCTAACTTTTTAACAAATTGGCTTTCTTTCATTGTTACCTTGTTGTTCCGACTTTCGATACAAAAGTAACGGAATATTTGTGCTCGGAGTGGGTTTTTTTTTCTTCAGACAAATTTCGAATTTTTAACTAGACATTTTTGACGGAATTTCTTTATATCATTCGAAAGGTATTGATGTCCTGAGCTTAAATTTGAAATGATATTTCACCTATGATCATTTTTCATACAAATATGGGGGTTTAAACATTGCCATTTTGGC